AAGCGACAAACGGAAAATAAAAAATGCAAAAACGTGCAAGCCGAGGGGAGTCGAACCATCATCCCCATCCCCACTGTCCTGCTTGAGAATCCTCCACGCTATCCACTAGGCCATCCGATCGTTGCGCAGCTACCACTTCGATTGTTTTAAGAGCCCATTCCCAAACTAAGCCGCTCGACTCGTTGACTACGTGCCCACAAGTCAAGCCCCACTGGCGCTACTCTTTTGTGATCCAGTCACAACCTTTATCAAGGCCCTACAGGCAGCAAACTGGCAAAAGTTGCGAGTGATTGGGAGAGCCCATTCAGGCTCAAAAACAGTCGGTTTCCATGGACTTTTTTTCACTCCATTTTTGGCATTCCCAGAGGCGTTCAGGAAAAATGAACACCAGTTTGGTACTCCATGCACGTGACCCCACATCATGCAAAAAACCGTTTTCAAAAAGCGCTCCACGTCCTGAACGACCCCTCCCTAGTGAGAGCAGAAGTTGAGCAGGTTGACCGCCCAGCCGAGAAGCCTCGGATCTGTTATCCGGGGTTAGACAGTAGAAGGGATAACGTTCGGAACTGCCAGTTGACTAACTCCTGAATAAAAAAGGCAAAAGAAAGAGATGGAAACGCTCGATATTAGGCTTTGCTCATGATAAGCGAGAATCAAAAAAATCGTTGTGGTTCTCGGACGAGATGCCAGACAAGAGCGGACGAGAGAGCACGCAAATGAGTAGACAACCGATAAGATATGGATCAACGTGGGCGGAGTCACTGACGTTCTGGTAGAGTCACTAGTTCTGAGCAGGAATAGCACCATTCAAAACATCAATGAGCACGTCCAAATTCCAATATTTGGATCACCATAAGAATGCTGAGATGTGGCCCAAAGACGTGACTCTAAGAAGAATGGAAACTTTTACATCACGCTAACCATTGCACCACTAGAGCCTCCCGTTGCCCTCTTCACCATGAGCTAACAGCTCTCATGCTACAGCTTGTCAGCGGCAGTTTTATCAACAACACGCTTCGGACCGCGTGACACACATGGTGTGCCATACTTCGCGCGGTCATGCGCCGTTTCATACGGTCTATTTGGCATCTTATTCATGCTCCGAAGTTATCAGAACACGTTTTTAGGCACAGAATACAAATATCTCAGAAAAGTGAAAGAAACAGATGAAATTGCTGATTATCGGTTTGAAAAGTAACGAAATTATGCGGAGATCCTCGCACAACGGCGGTCCGGAATGAGTTAAACAGTAGTAAAATGCAAACCCTGCGACCACACATTGCTGGTAACGGAGCTCAAGTACGAATGCCTGAGTGCTAGGTGACTGATTAGGGGAGAAAAGCAGGAAAATCCACTCCTAAATGCCCTCAATAGGACTCCGAACCCCACTTAGGCATGCCTACAGTTAAGAGAAGGAGCGTTTTTACGAATTCTACTTGTCATTTATCATGCGATATCAAGCCTGTTATCTATAATGTCACTGTCCCTTCGCCAACGGAGGGAGATGAGAAGAGTGGCCTACTTGCTAGTAAAACTCGCAACCAGAGCGTAGTCGCAATGGGCCCTAACTGCGTAGGCTTCCAGGCGGAATTGTCTGCTTATTTCCATTTTTTATGGTAGCATAGCACAGCTCTATTTGAGGCGTCATAGCTTTACTTAATTACGGAATTTACCTTTGAATATTATAGGATGGTGTCGCAGCTGGTAGCAGAACTTGACAGTTTACGTGACTCTCCCGAAATCAGGGTTTTCGTCATGGCCGCAACGAATCGTGTTGATCTCATAGATCCTGCACTGACAACACCTGGACGGTATGTTCTCGCTTCTATTGGTTAAACAAGCAATAGGGCTAAATGTTTTGCTGGAAAGAAAGTCCTGTCAGTGTTTCATTTTTTTTAGTTTCTAGCTCAACATAGAATGAAAGTTGATCAACAATTTACTCACCATTGTTAGCCACTCCATCTAATGGGCAGGTCAGTCATCCCGTTCTCCCAAAAGTGGGGAGGCTGTGGTCAAAAAGTTCACGACATCTCGACTGATGTCATCAAAGTTGCTGAACAGTTTTCTTAGCTAAGAGAGCCTTGAGGAGGCGGAGCAGGTAGCAGTCGTAGGGACTATGTCAGGAGAATATGATGAGCGGGGTCTGGTCTTCCAGCCTTGCTCCTCAATTATTTGGTAGGTCTTCATAGCAGTATGGGGTCTCGCGTCCTCACGAACGAGGTGTCCCGAAGCAAGTCTCGGTCATTTCTCTTCAACAGTTTTTACGAGTTTCTGAGCTGAGCCACACAGACGGTAGCGATGACCGTGCGTTCTTGCAGGGGCAATCCGTTGTACAGCATTCCCCTCGCGTCCTAGAAGCAGCACAGGAGAACCTCCCTGGAGTGCATGCTTGGTTTGGCCTGCTAATGTATTCCAAGGTATGACAGATCCACCGAGCCAGCACGTTTCGATAGCCGAGGGCTTACAGGCGGTTTAACGACCATCAGTTAGGTACACCCGAGTTTTTTTCGCAAGGTAGCTGGTATCCTCCGGATCCTCTTTGAACGGCTTCCAGAATGATAGATTTTCCACTTCGTGGAAGCATCCTGACAGAGGTCCGCCTTCGAAGATCGTGTCTCCTTTCGTGAAGCGGGCGGACCAGCGATGAACAGACCTTATGGTAGTGGTATCCCCCCACAATGCACCCTTGATGTTGAGACAGCTACCGTTGTTCCACTGCCGCGGCACCACACATAGAAGATGGTGCCTTGAAAATGCTCTTGTGAAACTGAAGGGCGAGATAAAGCGACCACAGACGCATGACCTTGACTTTGATGTTTTCAGCCTACAAGACAACGACTTACATGGTGAATTACGTGCATAAATTTCGTTGTCTGCAGCGACGTAGGACGACATTAGTCTGGATACTAGATATTTTTTTCAGTCTGGATACTTTTTCAGAGAAAGCAAGCAATAGCGGTCTGCTTCACACAGCAAGAACCGTTTTGGCGCCTCTAAAACTCAGCAGTGATGTCATCGCATTGGGCAAGAGCTCGTAGTGCGCCGTTTACTGGGCCCTAATTTCTTGCACTGCGCTGTTTGTTAAGGGGTGTCTGTCTTTTTCCTGCCTCCTTCCTTCGAACTGTAGACGTAGACTAAAGAGTGAGAGTAATTTGAAGAAGTGGTTGAAATAATTCTAGCACTATGTGAAGCGCGCGAAGGGCATCCTGAAATTAAGTTTTCCATTTTGAGGTCACAAACATATATTTCAAAAGTATTTTTACTTACCAATTTTCATGTGAATTTTGAAGAAGGACAGTAACTCTCCCGTGAAAACCATTCATTTTGTTGGTTGAATGTATGGTCAACTATCAGTTTTATCCTGAACGGTTTCTTAGTGGTCGTCTATCTAACATCGGCAACCTGGGAAAGTTGCTCAGCTTCTTGTTGATTGTCTTTCAATAACCTCCATGATTTGAATGGACGATTGGCGCATTCCAGCGGCCGTGCCGACAACTTTATTTTTGCAGTTTCTTATCGGAAATCATGTAGAATTCTTATGTGTATGCATTTTTTAAGAGATTCCGTCAGTTTCAGGTTCGACAAGGTAATCCACGTGGCTCCAGGGTCAGACGTAGAATCGAAGCTGAAAATTCTCAAAGCAGTCAGCAGGAAACTGAAATTCGACGATGACGTCGATCTTCGGAAACTGGTTCGGTTTCAGTTATTCCATCATTCCTTTTCTAAGATGCCTGTTTATTTTGATAAGGCGCTAAGGTAACGCGGTTTCTCAGACTCTGTGGAGCATCCGAGGCATTTTGAAAATATCACTTTACACAAAATAGGTTCACGGAGTTCCCTCCCCTCCTTGGCTAACAAACTTCCTCATCAACTGGCTTACAATTGTTTCTTTGCACTCTTAAACTACGTAATTACCTCGAACGGATCCTCGCTAAACTCAGCGGAGCATGCAGGGCACTAGCTTGACGAGATGGAGCACACAAGCAAACCAGCATCGTCTGCCGCGTGGTCCCATCAGTGGTGTTAGCGCCTTTCCCCCTCCTCCCGTGCAAGAAGGATTTTTGAGCATATTGGCTTTTTTTGGTTTCCCGATATCGTGCCTATGCAAGGAACGTGCATTGGGACAGATCGGTGAGTGAGTGCCATGGACTATGATGACATAACATCTGGAGCTCAACACCAGGGCACAGCATTCGATGGGGATTTTGGTCGAGCTTTTACGACCCCCCCCCCTTTTTCAGGGGCTGGTACGACCCCCCCCCATGCTCGTACGATGTACGTCGCATGCTTACTACATACCCCCCCCTCGACGACTTTTTCATGAATGACACTGGATTGGCTGACTGTGGTTGTGGCGAAAAAGTACGGGCGTACATAGTAGCGTACATACTATAACACAGAAAATTCATAAAACTCATGAAGTGAACCACGTAACTCCTAGACAGAAATACGACCCCCCCCTCCCAACAATGAGCAAATACGACCCCCCCCCCCCTCCAAAACGTCCGCAAAGCGAGAAAAATCAACTATAAAAATAAATTTTTCCCAGCCCAAATACGACCCCCCCCACCTTTGACGGCCTCATACGACCCCCCCCAATGGGAATCCCCATCGAACGCTGTGCCCTAAGCTTAACACGTCATGATGGTGCTCTTTCCGACCACTCTAGGGTATTTCCGACCACTCTAGGTTGTTCAGATGTACTGTAGGTGAAGTGACCTGCTTATCTCTTCCCGATAGAATAACGTCAGCTATCGCAGAGTGAGGCATGGCTATTTATAGCGCTATTCAGAAAATGCTGAAAAAGCAGCCTGCTAGCTGTATGCCGCGTACTGCCCAATGTGTAGAATGAGTGCACTAGAACTGTAATTTTTAAGGCAGAACAATGCGAGGGTAAGTGGTCCGGAGCCGAGCTGAATTCGCTCCTCACAGAAGCCGCCATGGAAGGAATCCGAGAACAGGTACACTTCTCACCTCACTGTTTTTGTTGTATTTTATTGAAAAAAGTTATTTGAGAGCCACAAGCGTGGGAAATGGTACGGTCTGTATCGAATGGCAGCAAGGGCTGTTCCCATATACACCCTCCGATAGCAGCCCATTCTCGGACGGCCTTTCATTCGTCTCTTTCTTGTAAACCTCCCCACACACTCGTGTGATCGCAGCCATGTACGTATTTGGAAACTTTCCTTTTTGCTCTGAGGTGTGGACTGTAAGTACAGCAGCTGAAAGCAGTGAGATTATGCTGAAAGAAAATTTGGCACTACTCAACTATTATTACTACCCCAGAAAGTCAAAAAAATTTTCTGCTGCAACTTCGAACACAGTGGTAATTCGGTGTCCTCATCACGGATATAGCACTCGTTTTCAGCGCTGACGCCAAATTGGCGACAATTCGCGCGCCAGTTTGGTGCCGCCATCTTTCTCACGAAATTCGGTGTAAATTTGCATATAAGGGTTATTTGATGTCCTGATCATGAATATTTTCAGCCGTGACGCTATTTGGCGCCATTAGGCGCTGATTTGACGCCACACCCTTTTTTATCGAAATTGATAAAAACCTGCATAATGGGGTTGTTTGATGCCCTGATCACGAATATGACACTTATTTTTCCGACGCCAGCAATCTAAGCGCTTTTCTAAGGCTCACCCAGGAGAAAAAATGATTTCCATAAGGTCAGGCTCAGTCTGCAGAGGGCGGATTATCGCAGCGTTCTTGAATGTGATATTTGTAAACAAGATGTTAAATAGCCTCCGTATACAAGTTTTCAGCGAATTTGGTGATTAGGGTTTTGGCGCCGGCGCCTGTGGCGCGGGCGCCAGGCACTTTCAGGCCAAGTGGATGTGATATTCGTGTTCAGGAGGTCGAATTACCCCTAGAACCCAACTTTCAGCCAAATCTGCCCCGAAAAAAGTCGATCAAGATCCGGCCTGTTTTCGGAAAATTGGGGTGGGGTAGTAATAGTTGAATAGTGCCGAAAATTTTCCCGTCGCTTCCCTAGAAAGCTCAAGTACGGGGGAAAATGGATGAGAGTGGGCAACGTTCTTGCGGAACTAAGAGTTCCATCCCCCCCCCTCCTTCGAACGTAGTGTGCACTTACTTTGAAAATTGTGCTGTGGTATCGTTACACTTGTAAACAGAATAATGGAAGCTATAAATCGAAAAAAAAACTTATAGCTAAATTCCGAAGTGAGCGAAGTTTCACTCGAAGGCAGGGCCCGCATACATTCGATGATCCCACGCTTTCTTCAGATATGGTGCCCCCGCCCCATAACGGTGAAGGATGTACTAATTTCGCAGCTAAAAAACACAAGAGGAAAGTGCCACCCATGGCGGCAATCGTGAAGGAACTGCCGCCATATAGCCCAACGCCCTGCGTTTATTTTTAGCTGTTACCTGGTGGTGCGGCTGTTCCGCTACTAACTCTCTTCATTCCATATGGTGGGAGTGAGGTGATAAGGAGATGGAGCTGGCATCAATATGGCATTTCCCATGATTTTTTTTCTTGCTTTTTTTCTTCACTATTCATTTACTTGCTACCTCGTGATTACTATCTGAACCGCCCTACTCATCATTTTTGAACGCGGCCTTTTCCTTCGAATGAAGTAGAAACTCGATCGTAAATGGGCTAAGTACTGAGCATACTTTCATAAGGGTGTAGCTCTGGGAGACGGGCAAGAGAATCGTAATTTGCCGCTTCGCCGCGCGCGGCGATGGGCGCGGCGTTTTCTTAACTCGTGTTAACCTGTCGACTGGAGCACCGGACTTCATGTAGACCCCGTCATCGTAGACATTCATGACTATTTTCGGTTCTGAATTGCCTGTTGTCGCCATCTACTACCTGGAACCATCGTCATTTGCGGGCGCGACGTCGCACGCGACGCCCACCAGCGCGGTGAATTACGATTCTCTTGTCACATACCCTGTTGCTCTATTTTGAAAGTTCTCGGATCTCAAGGCAGCTGAGCAGAAACAAAATGAGAAAATAGCCAACCGAAATTAAGGGAGTAGGCAAACTCAACACGTAAAGGTTGATTACCTGGCTACATAGACTTGCTGCTGCGGAAGGTCAGCGAGCAAATAGATGAAGGAACCGGCTAAATGAGCACAGCGGTTCAGGCTATCTAGGCTAGAGAGAACAGACAAGAGCAGAAAGTAGGTGTGTATGAAAGGGTCAAATCCTAGAAGGTCGTGAGCGGTGGCGGATGAAGCTGTGTCCATACTCTGCTGCAGCGTCCACCAGCGTCCAACAGTGACCACTAGCATCCCGAGCGTCCGGCAGCGTCAATGACTAGGAAAGTATAAATATCGGTCCGACGTTTGCCAATGTTTACCAGCGTCTGCAGGCGTCCACCAACGTCTCGAGGGCTAGGGAAATACTAGGGAAATATAGGTTTCGATCTATCGTCTGCCAGCGTCTACACTACACCATACATCAAATTGCACAATTCTGTGCTTTAGCAGTTGTGCGGTGCAGTTGCACACGCCGTAATTCCACGACGCCTAATCCAGCTAATTGCTACTTCCCAATACTCTCTACTTCCAATGCTGGCAGACGCCGATCAATAACTATGCTTCCCTAGCCCTCGAAACGCTGGCAGACGGTGGTGGACGCTGGCAAACGCTGGTAGACGCCGTCGGACGCTGCCGCAATGTATGAACGCAGCCTAACCTGTCTCCGCGGAGACCAACATGTGATACGCACGACAAGGTGTATCACTCAAGCTGGTCCCTATAAAAAACGTTCCATGGGTCAGGATTTCTTTTCACGGTACACTCTCGAACAGAGAGAACTAAAAGTTGGAGAAACAGAGGAAAGATGAGACTATGCGTAATCAGCTTGAAAGCTAACGAATTCAGATTCCTCTCATCGAGGCCGGGGAGCTTTCTGAGTCAGACGTGACGGGCATTATCTCTGCGAAGCACATTCAATCTGCACTCGAAAAGAAACTGAAGGAATTCCGAGAAGGAGTACGTCGCCGTGCATTCGAATGACATTCGTGAATAAATACTGCTCATATAAATCATGAAGCTTATTTAATAAATGATAATATATTTCAACCTTGAGCTCGTTTTAGACTTCATGGCAATGGCTTACCAAAGAGTTGGTATGTTTTGTAGGTAAAATGGATCAAAGGTAATGGTTACGTTGCTATCCGGCAATGACTGGTACAAATAAGCCATCAGAATAAGTGGAAAAGCCCTGTTAGGGCTCAAGAATGGAATTCGTAGCGCACTGAGTCAGGGCGAAAGCAGAAGATTCAGTGCTGGAGCAAAGTGCAATTGGAAAATGGTCTAAATTACTTACTCCTGATGGCTCTAACAAGGATTACTGTAAGACGTGCGGCAGAAGGTCAAGCATCGCGTTGCGCAGAATCGCCCGGTAGCTGCGGTAGCCCCTCCAGCCCCTTCCCTCGCTCTCCCCGTCAGGGCTATTGATCGAGTTTATCGCGAGATCGCGAAATCTGTTCTCCACTAGTTATTGAGACGGATAAGCGACATAAATTGGTGGAAAACGACAGATACGAAC